GTTTGCTGATAGGTCAAGTGTAACCACTGTGGACAGGGAGAGTCCTCAGTCCTTTGTAAGCTCTGACTGGAGTCCAGTTTAGGAATGTATTTTTCGGAGATTTGTGATCCTCAGATTTTCTGGAGCTCAGGGATGTCACCAACACAGAGGTGATGTGTCGGAAGTCATGGTCTAAGTCAGATTAAAGGAATATATTACTGCATTAATGGATGTTATTTTTTATATGTTTGGAGATCAGCTCTAAAATAACTAAAATTTGGAGATCAGCTCTAAAATTACAAAGATCTCCACCTCGAGTTAATATGTCATTAAATCACTGCTCTGAAAGGAGAGGAGGCATATTGTGCAAGGTGGAGGAAGTTATGGGGGCTTACGTACCAAAGAGGGGTTAGAAGGATAGGAGCATTAAATACAGAAAGTAGTAGGAGTAATGATGTTGTAGGGATTGGGGTGTGTGTGTGTGTGTGTGGGGGGGGGGGTTAAGACATATAGGGTGTTAAATCCAAAGAATTGAGTATGGTGTAGTGGTCATGCCTGTAGGGGCTGCTGAATGTGGTCCTTTCCTATTCAGTGTAGAGGCAGCCAGGCACACAGCAGCAGTTACTCTTTCTGGCTCAATGAACAGTCTAGTGGTCTGTCTTTTCTATATTTATTGCTGGAAACTTTTAGGCCCCATGCAGACAGGCAGGTTTGGGCTGGGACAAAAATAAGGCCCTGGAATTTTAGACTGAGCAACTTCAAGCCTGTGGGCCTTTCCCCTGGAGCCCGGTGGCGGAAAGCCGGGGCCTGGACGCAAGTGCAACCTTTGCAACCCTGGTAGTTCCACCACTGGTGTCAGTAGTTTTTTATTTTTATTTTATTTTGTTTATTACTTTTTACCATTGTATTTATTTTTTTTTACATTTTTTTTTTTTTTATTTTTTAGGAGCCCCTCAATCTCCATCTCAGCAGCACAGAATGAAAGGACAGGAATAGCTCTGTACAGAGCTTCCCATTCATTCATAAACTGAAGTATAGTAAACACAGTTTACAGTTTATGCCTCAGAGTCAGTTATGAATGGACGAATTCACTGATTGGTACCAATCACTGACTGCCCCTTCATACAGGGAAAGGTCTGGTAAATGACATATTTACTGCCCCTTCCCCAGAGAGGACAGGGGCCTGTGGGCAGCAGAAAGAAGATGGATTGGAGGGGCAGCGGGACGGCATATAGAGGAACCAATCCATCTATTTCTCTCCTGGCGCCGCTGAATGCCTGCGAGAGGAGAAGAGGGAGTTCAGTGGTGGCAGGAGAGAAATGAATGGATTGGTTCCTCTATATGCTGCTCTGCTGCCCCTCCAATCCATCTTCTTTCTGCTGCACCTCCTATCCAGGCAGCCCCAGCCAACTGGACAAATGCCCAGTGTGCCCTATGCCAGTCCAGGCCTGCACATAGGGCATGTTTGCAGCCACCTTAGGTGTGTGTAAATTATCTATTCTGACCAATGAAATTAGTCCAATGATGCCTGCAAAAGCTGCTAAAAACTTGTAAACGCTTTAGACACTTTTACAGTGTCAGGCATTTTTTCTGCAAAAATGCTACTGGCTTCTAAGAGAGTTAAATAAATGTCCTTAACTACATGAGAACAATAGGGAGTGGGATGCTCCAAAATGCATGAGCATGAATGCAAGCTAAGGACAGTTCTTGTTGAAACAACACTGTCAAATCTCTCACAAAAGTCCATGAGCAAAAAGGGGGTTTGAGGTAGAACAGCTCATTCTAAAACCTCTGCAGTTGAAAACGATGGAAAATCTTGAGCAAGTTCAGGGCTAACCGGGAACAGTCACTATCCACAGCTGGGGACCACGGAGACTGCATCTAAGTAATGAAGCTCTACTCATGGACTCAAAGAAGAGTTCCAGAGGTTGAGGGCCCTGCCCATAGGACTAGTCCAGCAGCCAGTCCTGGATGGCTCCAGGAGCAAGCAGCCGCCTCAGCCTATTTACCCCCTTCCCTGACCACCAACTGAGCACCCCCCCCCAAGCTGAGGAATCTCCCTGCCCTGGACTTGGGAAGTTTCTCCACAGAGCTAGGGGAAAGTAGTCAATCCCACAGCCTGTGAAGCAACAACAGACAAGTACAAAACTCACTCTGTGTAAATTTCTCTAGCACCTATGGGAACGAAGCTCAGAACCCTTGCACTGGAGTCCTACATCACAGGCACAATGATGCATGATAGCAGCCTAAAATTCAGATCAGTAGCTTTATGGAAGGAGTTGAAATACATTTTTCTTCCTTTTCCTGTGTTTTTCTCACTGCACTGTGCTCCGAGCATTTTGATGCGTTCTAGTACAATTCTGTGCAGGAAAAAAGCGCCATGTTGTACTTTTTTTTCTGCAACTGAAATGCACTGGAACTGACAACACTGGAGTGAACTATGTCCTTGGAACCCAGGTAACACACTTTCCATGTTTTTTAATGCAGAAAGATGCACTGCAGTGCATGTGGTGTGAACTGACCCTGATTAAGGATGGCCATACATTATACAATTTTCTTGAAAATTTTGCTTTAGATTTACCAAAAACCATATAATATGAGGTCAAACCTAAAGAACACTTTCATTGCATCCTATCAGGCAGGCCCTTGCACTACATAGTTGGAAGGTAAATCTAAAGGAAATTGGGCAGAAATTGGACAGAAAATTGTATAATGTATGGCCAGCCTTACTCAAACTGGAGAGTGCAAAATCTGGTGCAGCTGTGCATGGTTGCCAATCAGCTTCTAAGTTCACCTTGTCCAGTTAGAGTGTTACTAAATCCACAACAGTAAGATCAGTCTGTATTTGCAGTAAAGCACGCTTGCTATACTCACTGTGGAACCTAAGGGATTAATCCTCCACATTATGTAAAAAGGATGTTTGGTCCTGTCTTCTCTGATCCTCCCCTTCTTCTACTGTCCCTAATCCATCTGCTGATAGTACAGAGCCTTGGGGGTAAGCTGCACATGCTCAGTTTTAGCTGTGGCATCACACTAATGCTTCTTTGGCTAAGTGTAGTATCTGTTCTTATCAGTCTCCAATAGGGGTGCTCCACTGTCATTCTTGCTTTTCGGCGAGGATGGCTGGCTGTATAGTACCCCTGCTGGGATGGGGGCTCTGAAGGTTAGTACCGGCTGAAAGAGAAAGAGAGAGAGAGAGGAGAGCTCCCTAACCTAGTACTTGGTGGTCAGCTTTGGCTAGCCACAAGGAAAGGGAACCGCAGGCCTTTTGGCTAGGTGGACTATTGCAGGCCATAGACGGGGAGAAAACAAGCCGTTTTTTTTGTTAAAAAAATGCAAAAACGGTCGTTCAATCAGCCAAAGTTACCACCATTGGTAAGAAAAAAGTCGGCCGATTTTCGTCCCATCTACGGCCTGCAATTATATAGAATATGCAGAAGGAGAAATAGAATATGAATAAGATGAAGAAAAAGTTGCAACATTGTATCTATTTGTATCATTTCGGATACAGATGTTTCTATTCGGATACAAATAGATACAATGTTGCTATACTTTTAAATGTCAAATAAAATATCGGACTGAAATTCTTTTTTTTTTCTTCTTATTCATATTCTATTTCTTCTTTTTCTTCTTCATATTCTATTTCTTCCTCTTCTTTATATTGTATTTCTTCTTTTTATTCATATTCTATTTTCTTCTCATTCATATTCTATTTTTTTCCTTTTCTTCTTTTATGTCACTGCTCATGTGCATTTTTTAAATTCGGAAAAAGATCGGCAGATTTGTCCATCGTTGCCACAAAAATCAGCAGAACGACAAATTTGGCAGATTATTTTCCAGCAGGACCGATAATCGAAAAGGGCAAAAATCACTAAAAACAGCCGACTGATTACCGCACTAACGATCCAAAAATCAGATGATTTTTTTTTTCAGCCGATTTTCGGCCATTTTTCATCCCATCTATGGCCCGCATATGTTGGAAACCCTTTGTCCCTGTCAGGAGCCTTGCACCCGGGGGGATCAGAGTAGAGGTCCTACCCCATCGGGGGGGGGGGGGGGGTTGGGGGACAAAAGCACACCATTAAGTGCACGTTTTTTGTGTGTTTTGCACTTGCACGGTTTTTTTTTGTTCACTTCCGGGTTCTTGTTTTTTCGTACCTACACGAAACAAAAAGAAGAAAATCACAATAATGCTGCAGCATAGAGGTGAGTATAATTTTTTTTATTGCCATGCTTCTCCTTTAAAAGGTCCATACTGCCATAAAGAGTGTGGTAAGTCCTTTACTGAAGGCCCCACTCTGTCCTAGGGCCCCATTGGTGTGACCACGCGTTTATTTTTTGTGCGTTTTCACATGACATGCATTAGGCAGCCCATTGATTTGAATGCCAGACCTGTGCATTACAAATGTACCAACCCAGCTCCTACAACTTTGTTAGGCTTAGAGCTTTGCGCTTTTTTAGGTGCCATTAATGGAAAGTGCTGATGTGAATAGAAATTCGATTGCTGGGCAAAGCTGCTTCCAAATGTGTAATGCCTCTTTTATCACCATGTAAGCCAGACTGAAGGTTTTCCCTCACTTCCAGGTTTGCACACAGCAAATGGGAAGTCAAATTCTCCCTGAGAAGTTGTGAATGTAAACCATGTCTGTTCCATGACGGAAGTCCATAGCAGAGAGGTGAGGTCGCCCCTCCACACACAGCAGGCTTCAACCCCCCCTTCCCAGCCCCGTCGTTACAGACAGGACGACCCGCTCCTGACACTCCTCCGCTCCTCAGGAGGGGGCGGCGTGCTCGTGCCAGACGAGTGTCCGCGGGCATGTGCGCTGGGTGGAAGGGGCGTGTCCTGTAGTCGGGAGGGGCGGAGTCGTGTCTGTAGCCCGTCCGGGGCTGTGTGTAGCGCCGCTTAGCGTTTCCCAGCCCTGGCCTGCTTTGTGTGTCCCGGGACCTGAGAGAAGGCGAGAGCATCTCCTCCATCGTCTGTGCGCCTCACCCTGACGGTGCGGGACTGGCCCCCCGCCATCATGTCCAAGCGGCTGAAGAGCCCGGAGGTGTGCGCCGACTGCAGCCTGCCGGGTAAGAGGGCGCCTGTCACCTGAGGGGAGAGCACCGGGGAGTGTGGGCGAGCAGACAGCACCGAGGCGGGCGGACGACATATTGAAGAGGATGTATTGGTGGGAGGAGGCCGGGGATGGTGGGAGCATATCAGAGGCTTGGTGTTCATGGCACGGAGAGGGCTTCCTGTGTATGGAGGACATCACCCCTCTGCTATGTATACGTTTGTCATCTCATTCTCTCCTCTGACTCTACACACCCGGCCCAGCTGCCAGGGCTCCCTGATCAACAATAAAAAGCGAGCTATAGGAATCCTGGTGTGCTGGGTGTATTTCTTCCAGCTGTGTGCCGTCATCCACTGTGACACTTCCCTTTCCTGTAATAAAGACCAGTCACTGCTGCTCTCTCCTTATGCAGGGTGACTGGTCTTGTCTCCGCCCCCTCATGTAGTGGGTGGAGCCTGCTGGGCCCCTCCTACACCTCTGCAAAGGCTGTGTAAAGCACTGCTACATTTAGGCCAGTTCACGCTACAAAAATGTACTCCAGCTACATTTGTGCTTGCAGTTCATACCACTGTGTTCCAGTACAGTTCTGTGCAGAAAACATTCAGCATGTTCTTACTTTTATTATTTCAGGTATTTATATAGCGCCATCAATTTACACAGCGCTTTACATATTGTAAATATATATTACATTCACATCAGTCCCTAACCCTCAAGGAGCATACACTCTAAAGTCTCTAAATTACATTCATATATACACATACTAGGGACAATTTAGACAGGATCCAATTAACCTACCAGCATGTCTTTGGAGTGTGGGAGGAAACCCACACAGTCACAGGGAGAACATGCAAACTCCAGGCAGGTGGTGCCGTGGCTGGGATTCGAACCAACGACCCTAGTACTGCCAGGCGAAAGTGCTAACCATTTAGCCACTGTGCTGCCCAGACTTGCACTGGAAACTGACTAGAACTGCACTGGTGTGCACTAGGGCCATTGGAATACATGGAAAACACTGTGTATGCATTTTTGATGCAGAAAAAGAAGCACACTGGACTGCATCTGGTGTGAACTGGCCCTTAGGACTGGTTCTTGCCACAATTTCTGCCATCCGGATGGGTTTTGCATGTGCATGGTATATGTGGTTTTGGTGTGTTCCAGTGCATTTTTTTCCCTTTCACTTTGACACTTAACATGTTTGTAAAGTCAGTTTGTTAAAAATAAACATATACGTACCTGCTCTGTGTAATAGTATTGCACAGAGCAGCCCTGATCTTCCTCTTCAAGGGTTCCATGCCAGCACTCCTTCTTCTCCCCCCACCGGCACTCCTGGCTAGCCAGCACACCATCGCGCCAACACTCCTGGCTCCCCCCCCACAGCAATTCTGCAATCCTGGCTTCTTCTCTTTTTGATGTGCGACAATAAGAAGCCGCTTTCTATTGTAGCATACCTGCAGGGTTAAAGTGGTTGTAAATCTCAGAAATGAAATATGAACACAGCATATCCCTCTGTGGTATCAACTTGTCTCAATCCAGAGCACTAAGTGTCATTTCTGTCTGCTGCTTCATTCCTCTGCTATCAGCATGATTCACTTCTAACAAGTTTTCCTGACCCCAATAGAAAAATGGTGATGGGGAAGGGCCTCAGCTCTGTTTTTGGGAGCTGTGTGGAAGGGGTGTGTATTTTTTCCCTCCAATCAGCTATCCTCACTGAGCTCTGCAGAGTGTAATTTCTGCTCTCCGCCCCCTTTTTTCTGAAATCTGACAAGTTTTATAAATTCAGCACTTTCAACAGGTGTAGAGAAGACAGGAGATAAACAGGTACAACTTATGTAGGAGGATTTGTGTCATCTCTCTGTATCACTTGAGACCATTCACTTCACTGGTTATATGTAACAGTTTACAACCACTTTATAGGTTAAGTTCACCTTTTAAAAAAAAATAATAAATGCACTTTTTTTTTTTTGCAGGTAAAAAAAATATGCATTCATTATATTTGTCTGCAGGAGCCTGGAAAGCATTGCACCAGCAATTAGTAGATTGCTGATGCCATGCAGGTCTCCTGCAGACCTGTCAGTATATCTGCTTGCCCATACGGGATGTACAAGTAAGCAAATATACAGAGAGGAAGAATCAATGAACTAGCACAGCGCTTCACAGCGCCATAGTAGTTCATTGACTACAAGCTGACAGCCACTAAGGCTTTTGGGACTTGTAGTCTCTTATTTTCAGATGACCGTGAATGAGTGATGCAGCTGTGTGGACGAAGCCCCGCACGGCCACCTTTTTTTTTTATTTGACAGCTAGCAAGGGGAAAGAAGATCCCCGCTAGCTGTCAAAGCGGGGGTGGGGGGGAACTGGGGCCGGTCAAATTGTAACATGTTACATGTTATACCCTGAATATGAGTGTAACATGTTACGAAGGGTGAATTTATCCTTTAATCCTGAGCCCTGCTGCCTGCATCTATAGAGACTGACAGTGGCAATTGGCCCTGCCCTCCACTTCTTTGTCAGGGGGGCCAATGGCCCCCCTGTTTTCAGCAAAACCTGTGAAAGCAGAGGGAAGATGAGAGAGCCGCTATAAATGGGCACAGCACTGGCTCAAGATTGGGCACAGCAACTGTAAGGGGGGTGAGGGGGCAAAAGACATTCTAAAACATTTACCTCTGATGCAGGGAAAGCATTATATATGTTTAGAGTTTACTGCCACTTTAATTCAGCACAATGTGCTTTTTGGGTCATTTACATGTGTTTTGCCACATCCCAGATGTGTTCCAGCTGAAAAATGCAGAAGGTTCTACTTATGTTGACAGCACTGGAGCTGTCCATAGTGGTGTGACCTAGGGCCATTGGAATCCATGGAAAACATTGTGCTTGTGTTTTTATTTTTTTTTATTTTATTTTTTTTTATGTGTCTTAAAAACGCAGTGGAAAGCATCTGGTGTGAACAGCTGTTACAAGCTTATATCTGGCTTTACAAAGGTGTTTTGATGCTCACAAAGTGGATTTTTAGCCTTTGTGGTTAGTGAGGAATACATTTTAAAGTATAACTAAATGCAATACTTTGTTGTTTTTTTTTGTTTTAGTTTTGGATAGAGTGGAGAGAGATTAGAACTCCTGTCAGGTTTTTATTGGTGTCTGTGCCCCCGTTAGGCTAGGTTCATATATGTGCAGTTTGGGAATGCGCACAATTCCAACCCACAGGCAAATCGTGCCACTCTTTTGCAGGTGCATGGGGGGGGGGGGGGTGCCAATAATTCTTAATGCCCCCCCAGACATCAGAAACCACAGTATGTTTTCAGATGCATGAAATCGCATGGTGCCACATCATGCAGTTCTGTGCAGCTGCGTTTAAGAAAAAAAAAAAAAGGTCGTGGACAAATGGGTGAAATGAACGGGCTGCATTGTCTAACCTAGACTCAGGGAGATTAAATCTATTTGCATGTTAACATCATCATTGAAAGTGAAAGTTTAAAAATGCAAAACAGAACAGTAATAGAGGGAATATCGAGGGATTTCCTCCCACTTCCTGTTTTGGTTCTTGGACAGGAAGTGAAGGGATGTGTTGTTGGAGTAAAATTTGTTGCAGCGTGCTGTACAAGCCAGTGTCCCTGAAAATGATTAAAGAGTATCTGAGGCCTCATTCGCACAGGTGCTGTTTTTTGATATGCACAAAAAATCGCTGCTCAGAACTTATTGACAGGTGATATACCACATTGTGGATGCCTGTTTTTTGTTTTGGGGATTCCCTGCTGCACATCACCCATGGGTGTCAGACACAGTGACATCACAGTCCCATTCACTTGAATAGGGCGTGGTCCTGTTTGTTTGATTGGGTGCTTTTGAACTGCCTGCCAAAAGTGACATGCTGTATTAAATTTAAGCTGGCCATAGATTGAAATTGGGACCGGATGAATTTTGATCCATGTGTGGCTGCCTCCGCTTGACGGAAATCAATCTGATGATCACCTTCTGTCAAATGAGCTTGTTGGAAAAATGTTCCTGATCAGTGGCTGCAGCCACTGATCAATGTATTCTGACAGCCTAGAGTCCCATTGTCAGAATAAAATGTCTGTGCATGGTGGATTACATTTAGTTTTTTTTTTTTCTTCAGCCCACTAGCTGAAAAACAAAAAAAAGATAAAACGATCCATCTATGGCCATCCTTAAAGAGTATATCCACTTTTGTTGAGAAAAAACTTTCCCCTCTGAGTGATCTATGTACATTGCAAGGACTTTAACAAACTTTGTTGCAGATTCCTGATTTATCAGTCAGCTGCTGTACCTGCAGGGCACTAATGAGGAAAATTGCATGGTCTGCATTCCTTTAGACAGGATTTCTTGTAGGGAGTATTTTACCAAAAATAACATTTTTGTTGCAGGGGATGCTAAAAATCTGACTTGTTTCTCATTGCAGACTTCAGGAAAAATCAGTAAGCCAATCACACAAAAAGGAAATGTCATTTTCAGGGGGCGTTCTGTATACCATTTGTGTACAGAACACCTCCAGATAGCCATATTGCAGAAAATACATCATTTCAGATTGAAAGGGAAAGGTAATTTTTAATTACATTCAATTACAATATGGCTTGAGTCACAATTGTAAATGCTATATTAGTTTTTTTTTTTTTTTTTTTTTTAGTTTGCTAATTTTTTTCCCACAAAAGTAGAGTTAACCTTTAAGCTAATTTCACCCCAGCTTCAAAAGCCGGCATTTTTGAAATTCCGTGAATGCCTGTCAAAATTGTGTCCATTGCAGCGCTCAGTGTTGTTCACATGGCTGCGTTAGCGTCACATGAAAATTGACGCAATATGTGTTTCACTTTCATTGATGTCAAACTTGTAAACATGCCACAAATGTGCCACATGCCCTTAAGGCATTTTTGTAGGGCATGTGAAATGTGTTTACTAGCCAAGATAGTAATACAAAAGTAGTGAGCTGCAATAAAATGTAGCCATGTTGTATTTTATCAGCATATAGGAGGGAATTGCATGTCACTGTACAGCAGCACAGTGCAC